TAGTGCAAAATGCAGCAATAATGCTGATGAGTCGATCAGAAACAATTCAAGGGCCCTGGCTTTGGGAAACAATCCAGAACTAAAACCTGACCTCTGGTGTTCACGGCAGAAACTGCATGTTACTAACTAAACATCTAATACAGTAGTCTTATTCTAAGCAGTGTTTTTTCAGTGTTTAAAACCTAGAGCATATTTTTCCTTGGAAAGATGTAGATCCGTTAGTGGAAGAGAAAGCTGCACATACCTTAGCATAAAAATGTTAGCTGTTCTCATTTGTAATTATTAAAGTCACAAGGGCAGGAATAAGGAGAAGTGAATAAAAATTCGCCCCAGAAAAACAAATTTCACTCAACAAGTAAACAAAATTGGAACAGGGCTGGGAGCACACTCTGAGCACTGCAGAGGTAGGAGGGGGTGGAGAGGGGACACTGGGAGGGGCTATTCTCTCTTCTACCTCATTCTTCAGGGACAGTAAGTGTCAAGATCAGAAAAAGCAAAGGGCAACAGCAAATGGGTTTTATAGTTGGTGTGAAGATTTTATACCAGAGATTGAGAAACCTGAGAAAAGGGAACTAGGCTGTGAATTCTAGTATAGAAAACACCTCCTTCTGTATTTTATACCTTTGTTATTTTTATTTTCCCTATGGAAATAATTTTAATGCAAACGTCCCAGGCTAGAAGGAAGAAATAATTTTTGCAGTTAGTGTTCTGCCATTCCATCTGCTGTTTACATTTCAGTTGTATTTTTCCCTAGCCTTTATTGAGGTGAAGGACAATAGATACCAACACTTTAGGTATTGTCATGGACAACTTAAAGAAATTTAATTCCTGGTGACTTCAAGTTCTTTCTCAAAATTCAAGTTGCCAAACAAATTTGTGATTAAAAAGGTGCAATGGCCCTGGCTGGTTGCTAAGTGGTTAGAGCACTGGCCTGCGGACCAGAGGGTTTGGTTCCCGCTAAGGACACGGACCTCAGTTGCAGTTTGTCCCTGGCCCTGGTTGGGGTTGTGTAGGTGGCAACCAGTTGATGTGTCTCTCTCACATCGATGTTTCTCTCTCTCTCTCTTTCTCTCTCCCTCTTGCTGCCTGAATAAAAAATGGAAAAATGTCCTCAAGCGAGAATATATATACACACACAAACACTTGAAAAACCTGGTCAATGTTAATTGTACCTACTCCTTTTATATTCAGCCATGGTCACGCCATAATATACTTACTACCTCTTACTAAATTAAAGGCTCCTGTCTTCCCAGGAAAAGCCACTAGGCTTACTTTCACAGTTGAATTTTAAATAGATGATACATAACTTTCTACTTACCTATCTGCTTACTTCCTCCTTAACTTCCCAGTTGCATTTTAAATAGATGATTCATAAGTTTTCTGTAATTGCTTTGCATTTAGTATTATCACATACATGTTTTCCATATCAGCAATCATAGTTTTCTAGTGCCCCATAGAGTTTCGTTTGATGGTTGTACTGTATCTAATCAGGGAGTTACTTAAAATATTTAGTTCATTTTCTAGTCTTTACAGTCTGCATACTGTCTTTTATACCAGTAGGGTACATTTTAAGAAGTGAAATTGTTGGGTCAGAATCCAGTCTCCCCCACTGCAGATTGCAGGCCTGTTTTCGGTTCATGGATATTTCATACTGCAGGGTAACCTGCTTGCTGAAAAGTGCATACATCACAATTGCACAGCTTACTGAGCTTTCACAAAGTGGACACACCGGGTAGCCCACCCAGGCCAAGAATCAGAATATTACCAGAAACCAGAAGCCACATCTCATGCTCCCTTCGAGTCCCTGTCCTGAGGGTGCCTACTTCAGACTTCTCAGCTGGAGAGTATTTGCCTGGTCTGAACTTTATATAAACAGCATCCTACGGTGTGCATTCTTGTCTCTGGCTTCTTTTTGGTACATCTTTAATATATTTGGTAGTGTTGCCCTGGTTGTTTTGGCTCAGCGGGTAGAGAATTGGCCTCAGGACCTAAGAGTCTCAGGTTCGATTCCAGTCAAGGGCACGTACCTCGGTTGCAGTTTGGTCTCTGGCCCTGGTCGGGGTTGGATCGTGCAGGAGGCAACCAATTGATGTGTCTCTCTCACATCGGTGTTTCTCTCTCTCTCTCTCCCCCCCTCCCACTCTATCTGAAAAAATAAAAACGGAAAAATATCCTTGGGTGAGGATTAAAAAAAAAAAGTTAAGCCCTGGCCAGTATGGCTCTGGCCCTGGCTGGTTTGGCTCAGCGGTTAGAGTGTCGGCCCAAAGGCCAATGAGTCACGGGTTCTATTCCAGCCAAGGGCACATACCTCAGTTGTGATTCGTCCTTGGCCCTGGTTAGGGTCGTGCTGGAGGCAACCACTCCATGTGTCCCTTTACCTCAATGTTTTTTCTCTCTCTCTCCCTCCCACTCTATCTGAACAAAAATGGAAAAATGCCTTGGGTGAGGATAAAAAAACAAAAACAAAACCTCAACAACCCCAAACTGAACAATTTCCTCTGCTCCCGATTGCCCTAGACCTTTCACTGTTCCGGTGTTTCCTGTCTCAGTGAAAAATATCACCAGCCGCAGGTTTCACAACTCGGAAACCCAGGACTGGTCCTGACACCTCTCTCAGCATACCCTACGGCAATCAGGTTCTGACAGCTTTTCCTCCTGAACAGCTCTGGTGAGTGGCTCCTTTCTCATCCTTACCACTGCCAGATTCAAATCCAAGCTAAACCTGTATCATCTCTTGCTCAGACTATTGCAACAGTTTCCCTGAACTGATTTCCAAATAGACTAATACTTTGCTTAAAACTCTTTACAGGTTTATATATTTATATTGAAGAAGTTACTGACATTTGCATTAAATCAGACCCCATGGTGACCTAGCCCCTTCCTACTCCTTGAGACTCTCTCTTCTCCTTGCCCTTCTCCTTATTCAGAAATTGCTCCACACATTCTTTAAAAGGGTTAGAAATGCGGTTGAAATTTGAGCAATTATATCTAACACAGTCATGTGGAAGATAAAAGTAAAAAAACAAAGTTATAGATACCATTTTGTAGGAAAAAAAAAACTCTTTCAAAATATGGAGTACATTGTTGGGGTAGAGGTGGACATTTCAGAAAGCAATGAGATAAAGGACTAATTGCCCCCAAAGAGTTCCAAGCTGCTTAAGAGGCCAATTAGCATAACGATTAACTTCAGGCTTCCCAGTCTGACAAACCCAGGTTCTGATAATGACTCAGCCATTTTTAAACTTGCATAAATTTTGGTGAGTCATAATACCTCTGAGCCAGAATCCCATCCACAATAAGAGAGTACCTTCTTCTTCACAGGGACTAAGTTATATCTCTACTATTTGGCACAATTATCAACACATAGTTAAACATTAAACAGATGGTCGGCATATTATTATTTGGAAGAAAATAGGCTATAATATTATTGCTATATATCAAGGTAGGAGTAACCCATGCTTAATTAATGCCAAAGATAATGAACATCCCTGGGGCAGAAACGGGACCATATACTCCCAGGAGCTTTCTGGACTCAGGTTGCTTGGGGCTCTTCCCTCTGGCACCACGGAGGCGTTTCCAGGTAACCAGTGGCTCGGGATGACCTAAGCAAGAGTCTTATTTTTTTTTCAAATTAAAATGATGCTCTCTTTCAGCCAGTTTGTTTACTTTTCTCAGAATAAACACCTGAACTTTGGATTTCCCTTATCTTTGTAGGTGGAATTTTGTGACCCTCTATGTATGAGATAAGAAATCCATATTTTTTGCACAGCTAAGTCAACATTATCCAGACTAGACAAACTCAACCATATGCTTGTGGCTGCTTTTACTGCAAATGGAAAACACAACCAGTGGTGTTTATCTCTCTCCTCAAAAGATATATATATATACACACAAGCAATTGGAACCCAAATTAAAAAAGAAAAAATACTGACAAGGAGAAAAGATGAATGAATGTATTGATTTAATTATTGAAGCATTTAAATTTCCTTTACAAAAATGATATATGATTTAGTGGGGGAAAAGAATAGATTGAAATCAAAAGAACCTCATTCTGGCTTAGCCTCCAGCACCGATTATCTATGCAAACTTCAAGTCATTTGTTTTCCTTGGTCTTCAAATTCTTTATATGTAAAGAGAGAATTAAAGTGTATCATCTTATAAAAATTCTGAGTTTATATACATGTAGAAAATATGAAAGAAAAATGCTATGTGTATGTGTGTATATGTATGCTTATATATGCATCTTAGTTTCTTATGAGAAAGCAAATTATAAACAAGGAGGCTGAAATAGGCCGTACGTAAGGTCCCGTTCTATGCTGACATCATCTATTTCTAGCATTTAAAACGCTCATATCTTCACTCCTTCATCCAAGGCAACTAAGCGGTGGGAATTTGCTAGATATGCAAATTCTCAGGCCTCACCCGGACTTCCAGAGTGAAGGCCAGTGGGGGCGCTCAGCCACCTGTGTTGCAATGGGCCCCGCAGGTGACTCGGAACTGCGCCAAAATGAGAGAACCACTGCGTTCCCAGGGGAGAACCCGAGGCTTGAGCCACAGGCAGAAGTGAAGAACCAGTAATTAAAGATGAAAAACACAAAACAAAACAAAGGATAGTCTACAGAGAACTTGGGTGAGAGGTGGTAGGCCCTGCGTTTGGGGAGACAGAGCGGGGGCCCAGGGTCACGGTACTTAGGGTAGCGGGGGGCCGGCTGGCGAATCCGGAGCGGCAGCCCCGTCAGCAGCAGCCACCTGCTCCCGGCTACGTCGTTGTCCTCTGCGGCCCTTTCTGCTGCTCTGCCGGGGACTGCTGGCTTCCGAACCCTTCCCCTGCGGTGGAGCCCAAGGAGGCTCACTCCCCGTCAGGGCCTCGGGGACCCCCACCCCCAGTTCTCGACTCTGTAGAAACGCGAGCGTCAAGGCTTCTCAGGCCTCCCCACAGCCGAGGTTCTCCCGATCCCCGTTTCCATCTCTTCGCTGACACTTCAGGAGTTCGGGTGTGTTCAGGGCAAGGAAGCAGCCCCCGGAGCCGCTGGGCTGGAGGCGAAGCCGGCCGGGGAGGCGGCCGGGGTGAGAATGAGCCGGTGGAAGGCACAAGGCAGGAAGTCCGCGCGCACGCTCCGCAGGAGGCCGAGGGAGGCGGCGTTGTCGGCGCGCACGTGGCCCTGACACGGGAACCCCCGGCCGCGCAGCTTCCCGGCCAGCGTCAGGGCCACCAGCCGGCTGTAGCCTTTCCTGCGGTGCTCCGGCAGCGTGTAGCCGTGGCACATGGTGGCGAACTGGTCTGTGATGGACCAGGAGACGGGACTGCCCTCCTCGTCGCGCACACACACGCTGGGGAAGCAGGAGATGAGCTGGGCGATGTACCGCAGACACTGCTCGTTGCCGCCGCGCGACCACGTGCGGTTGAGCAGCTCGGCGTCCGCAACGCTCAGGTGGGTGAGTCGCGGGGGAGAAGTCCTCCTGCAAGACGACAGAAGACGTGCGCACTCAGGATCCTGCGCCTGCCAACAACCACTCGCCGTTCAAGACCCATTTAAAGGGAGAGACCCTCCCAGAGACAGGGCTTAACAAATACAAAGGCATTTTCAACGAATTCGATTCCATCTCTCCCCCGTTTACAAACATCTTTCAGGACTTCATGTCTGATAGGACGAAATACTCATTATTTCAAACTTAAGTCTCTCCTTCTAATTTTATGCCCGGTTCTTTTTGTCCTCAGTATAGATTAAGGCGGATAAAACAATTCTCAGGCTCCCTCTAAGTCCTGATTTTATTGACACTTTCTCTGAAGCCTTGAAAAGACCAGATTCTTGGGCCCTTAATATTTTGGCTTACAAAAAAAAAAAAAAAAAAAAAAAAAAGATGTTTTAGGACAGAACTTCTATCTTTATGCATCCATGCCCAGAAAAATAAATACAAATTGCTAACATTTTAGGCATATGTCTATGCTCAAAAAATGCTAGTTGTTCCAGACCTTCCCCTAAAAGGTTTGGGAAAAGGTCTAACGTCTCATGGGATTAAGATAAAGAAAAAGATAAGAATTGGTGCAATGTCTAAGAGCCGAGGTGGGTTACTTGGTTGAAACCTTATGGGGCTGGTTGTGCTTCAGAATGTACTTTAGCTCCTGAAGTCACCAGTGCGGTGAGACCACCCCCAGGGACTGTTAAGAGATGGTAATGTCATTCTAGAAGTGATCTTCTTTATAAAGCACACATTTGTGTTTTTGTTTCATTAGTGGTTCTGCAGCGTTAGCTCACATGCCAGGCATCCCGTGGGCTCTGGGACAACTGCTTAACCCCTAAGCAGGGGTAAAAAGGGAATAAATATTCTATGGCTTCATAGCGTTTTGCATTGAATTTTTTTAAAGTGAACTTTAAACAAGACAAAGAAGCCTCAGACAGAAATTTCAGTGTTAATAAAAACATTGTTAAGCCCAGCCAGTGTGGCTCAGTGGTTGAACCTTGACCGATGAAAAAATTAAAAAAAAAAACAACCAAAACATCGTTAGGGCATGCCAAGTGTTTTAGTAGTTATGCTAGAGACTATGACCTTGTATCTGAAGGGCATGGTACCCAAAACAGAGGGTATACACATTTGGGTAATGACTTTGTAAAGACAAATTGTCTAACTTCCTATGCAGAAGGGCGCAATTTAAGTAAAAAACCCGATTTTAAAAGGTCCGAACGGGGATAGAGGAAAGTTTTAAATAACATCTCAGGGATATGATAGTAAAGAGACTGTGGGAAACTCTAAAACTCTAAAGGACAAATAGCCTTTGTTCTTTAACAAAAAGTAATGTAAGAAATATGAAAGACGAGAGGGGAAACTGTATGACAAAAGAAACTTGAGACATTAACCAATTGCAATGTATGAACCTTATTTAGATTCTTATTCAAAACAAACTGCCAAGGATATGATGATAATTTGGGAAGTGTGACTACTGACTGGTTACTTTACTTTAAGGAGATATTGTTAATGCAGTGTAAGGTGTTGTGCAGAAAAGAGTTAAGACAGCAGGCTTGAGGCCACGATCTACAAAGGCCTGTTTGCCAGGTTGGCCCTTGGCTGGTGTCCAGCAGTTTGAATTTCCAGAGGGGCCCTGCCGTTCCCAGAACTGGTAGGAGTGGCTCACTGTGCCCGGCTGTTTGTACAATCGATGTGGTTTATGCTGAACACCTGCTTTCCTTCTGGGAGTCTAGGAAATTGGTATATGCTAGGCAGAGGGTGCCTCCAATAAAAATCCTAACATGTTGTCACAACTTATCGCTGGGGAAATTAAGAGTGTCCAGTGTGATTCTGCTGGGAGAAGACTCTGGGACACTTGTGCCTGGTTTCCTCTGGACATTACCAATGCACCTGTTTCCTTTGCTGATTTTTTTTTTTTTTTTTATCCTCACCCGAGGATATTTTTCCATTTTTTGTACAGATAGAGTGGGAGGGAGAGAGAGGAAGGGAGAGAGAGAGAGAAACATCGACGTGAAGGGACACATCGAGTGGCTGCCACCCGCACGACCAACCAGTGCCGGGGACAAACTGCAACCGAAGTACGTGCCCTTAGCGGGAACCGAACCCCGGTCTCTCCGGACCGCAGGCCGACGCTCTAACTGCTGAGCCAAACTGGCCAGGGCTCCTTTGCTGATTTTGATTTGTATTCTTGTGTTGTAATAAATCACAGCCATGACGATATATATTGAGTCCTGCGAGTCTTCCTAGCCAATCACTGCACCTGTCACAGAAGTGATATTAGTAATGTATAAGAATCCTTATCTTTGGGAGATGTATATTAGAATGTTGAAGAACAATGGGGCCCTGGCCGGTTTGGCTCAGTGGTTAGAGCATTGGCCTGCGGTCCAGAGAGACCCGGGTTCAGTTCCCGCTAAGGGCATGTACCTCACTTGCAGTTTGTCCCCACCCCGGTTGGGGTCGTGTGGGTGGCAACCAGTGTCTCTCTCACATTGATATTTCTCTCTCTCTCCCTTTTTCTCTCCCTCTCACTCTATGCAAAAATGTCCTCTGGGGAGGATAAAAAAAAAAAAAAAAAGAACAATGGGATAATGTTTGGTAAATTTTCTTTAGAATAATCCAGGGGATGGAAAGAGTGGAGGGAGGTATGGATGAAACACGACGACCCATAGATTGATGGGAAGGTTCATTATACTACTCTCACAATCTTTTGTTTGCATTTGAAAATCTTTATAACTGAAAAAAATAAAAATGAAGTTCAGTGGCTTTATGTAACGTAATGTGTCCATTCTTCCTTGGGTTTAGTCTTGTTTTGTTCAATAATTCCTTCAACATATTCCGTGGAAGTGAAGAAAACTAACATTCACCGAGGTAGGTACTTTTCATGTATCATGATTCATTTGTTTATGAAAAACAGGTAAGAAAGCTATTACAGATTAATTTTCCAGAAGAAGAAATTGATCGAGGCTCAGAAAGATTGTGCAGAGGGGAAAGTAACTAGTAAATAGCAGAACAGGTCCTCCAAAATAAGAAGAAATTAAGAATGCAGACATGAACCAACAAATGTTTTGAAGGACTGGATTCTGGAACAGACTTTGTGGGATTTATTTTCTGGCTCTACAGTTTACTCCTGTGGGTTGCTTTGTTCAGAAAGAGAATGATAGTAGTACTTCTTGATAGGGTTGTGGAAATGTATTCAAGTGGTCATGTATTTGAAACATATAGTGCCTGGCCTGTAAGAGCTGCACACGAGTCAGTTTCTTACCCCTGTCCCTGGAAAAACAAAACAATAATCAACCACCTTGGGCTTAGACAACAGAGGTCACTTAGAATTGTTTGGGGAAGGAGGACAGTAAGGAATGATTTTTCTGTGCGTACTGTGAACATACGGGACCCCTGAGTTCATTTATCACTATGGACAAAGATTCTGATTTGATTTTTGCAGGACATTATGAGCTGCCGAGCACAGCAGAAAGGAGAAGAGTAAACACACACACACAACAGACTCAAGTTTAGATTCAAAAGCCCAAATTCAAGGTACCTAAATATCCCTTAAGGATACTAAGTATTCCAGGTACCACTCTTGGTACATTTATAGCAGAAAGTCCTACCCCAAATGCAGAAACTTGATTTACATACAGGAAACTGGTGTCCAGCTGAGTTGAAACAGGAGAAAAATGAACCGCCTTGAAGGAAGTTAGCTTGACATCCAACTGCTTCGAGGTGGCAACAGCTTTGGAAACGTCACATAACTCACTTTGCAGCCCTGCGTATGGAAAGACATAATGACAAATATAAGCATTTTACTTGAAAATGCAGAAAGGAAACCTGTTGCAGTATTTTTAAATTTATTATCATCAGTACCACCAGTTTGCCACCGTGGATTATCCTCACCACTGTGCATGTACACATGAATTATTATAACTAATAATTTGATTGTATTTGATTTTCAAACTTTGTGCAAGATTTTCAAATTCCCATCCTGTGGTCCATGGTGATCATGCTCTTCCATGGAATTTTCTGATACAGCTATCCCTTAGGAATTTGGGATTTCTTGTGGGAATTTTTATTTCTCTGACTTCTCAGACTGATTAGGGAAAGAGATGTTTTATAGCTCCAAAAGGCTGTGATCTTCCATACAGCAGGGAGTGTAAAAGAGCTTAGATTTATTTGGCCTGGAATTCTCCCTTCCAGCCTCTTGTCCTAATGCTCAGTACAGAAATAGCCAGTATAAACTCAGGGTCGGTGAGATGTATCCTGAGTGTCGCTCACCCAGGTTCCACGCGTGTATCTTAGCTGTACTGTATTATCTGTAAATCTGTATCCAGTATGTGCATATCAAGCACTGTCGTGGGCACTGCTTCACAGTGGGATATAAGAAAGGTTTTGTTTTCTCTGATCTCTAGAGCCTACAGCGTGGTAGGGTAGCTTCTCTTTACTTAGAACTGACTTGCGTTGCTTCTCCAAATCCCCATTTGCTCTGTCCTTTCCAGTCTGGGTCCTGACGGATTGAATCCTCTGGAAACTGACTTTCTCACTTCCTTCCATGTCTGATGGATTGTTTCCTCCACCTAGTACGTCACCCTCTTGAATAATACATGACTGGGAAGTTGTGTTGAACTCAGTCTGATATCTATCTGAGCCTTGGCTCCTCCCTCAGAGAGTTAAGTCTAAGAAAAGATAGGTAGGTCTTCAAGTTAATACTATTAAAATTAAAGATGCCATGAGTAGCATCCCATATTATAACACGGAATTAGATCTAATTAATTCAAAATACTACCTACAGAGAAAATAGGTAGTGCCACCCAAAGGTAAGGATGGTAGTTCAAATAGAATTTCTTTCTCCTAAATTAGATTGAACCAATTCTTTCTAAAAGTCAGATTAGCCCTAGCTGGGTAGCTCAGTTGGTTAGAGTGTCATCCTGATATGCCAAGGTTGTGGGTTTGATCCCTGCTCAGTACTCATACAAGAAGCAACCAATGAATGCATCAATAAGTGGAACAACAAATCAATGTTTTTCTCTTTCTCTCTCTAAAATCAATACATAAAAATTTAAAAGTTAGATTAACATTTCTTTAAAAAAAAACTTTTAAAGTTATAAGATATAATAGATACAGAAAACTGCATAAACAAATTTGTAGCTTAATCAATTATATATCTTAACTACATACCACTAAAGCCTCAAAATAGAATTGTATTAGCCACCTTCTATTTACCACTCTCCCAATCACAATTCCTTGTTTTGCCTCTAAAAATAACCACTATCATAGTTTTTATGAGAATCACTTACTAAAAAAAATTTTTTTTTCTTTATTGATTTTAGAGAGACGAAGGGAGAGGGAGAGAGAGGTAGAAACATTGATGAGAGAGAACATAGATTGGCCGCCTCCTGCATGCCCCCGACTGGGGACTGGGCCCACAACCTGGGCATGTGCCCTGACTGGGAATCGAACCGGTGACCTCTTGGTGCATGGGTCACTGCTCAACCACTGAGCCATACTGCCGGGCTCACTTACTTTTTTCTTTATTGTTTTATTTATCAAAGTGTGCATCCTTAAAAACTATAGTTTGACTTTACCAATTCTTTTTGTCTTATAAATCTTTTGATCCACGGGTTTTTTTTTTGTTTTGTTTTTTTTTTAAATCCCCACCTCCCCTTCTAAAAATATTTCAATTTATTTGTTCAAGAATCCAGGTGTTTGCTGGGTAGAGTTTCTATAGTCTGGATTTTGCTGATATTCTCTCTCTCTCTCTCTGCAAAAAAGCCTGGCCCGTCTGGGTAGCTGTATCCTTTTCCATTTCCTGCCCTTTGCACGGCAATCAAAGGAGTTTGGCTCCTCCTAGTAGGTTAGTGGATTAACCCGGACTGAATATTGTTTATGGTTGGCTCTTAGATGAAAAATGACAAAGGCATTTCCGCGCTGTCACTCCGGACGCGCAGCACGACGCTGCACACCCTGACGCTTGGTCTGTCCAGCAGCCCGACTCGGAGCTCGGACTGCACCTGCGCGCGGCAAAGGCTGCAACACAAACGGCAGTAAGTAGACTTTTGGAGTCGTTCAAAGAGTGAACACTTACGGCAGTGCATAGGCTTTGGATGAGAGCTGGGAATGTTATGAAAACAGCACCTTTTTAGCGGCTCTGGTTATGAAGAGTAAAGATACTGATGACTCCTTAGAAGCTCTTCAATTTTCCAAGCAGGTCACAGTTATTACCACAGACGCCTATAGCCCAGAGACCACATCAAATGACGCCTGCCCTGACCTACATGCACCACTCCGGCTATGTTAGGTGCTACTAACTCACATTCATCACCTCCAAGCCTTCAGGAAGGGTGAGTGAGTCCCTCTAAAAGGCTATAACTGACTCAGGGTTATCAGCTTAGCCTTTTGGAAAAAGAATATTGGCAATTATGAGGATGTTCTCTCCATAATGATGGATTCAGGTGATCTGAATATAGTAGGCCTATAGCACCAATATCCACCCAATTACTGCCATGATTTTTTTTATCCTCACCCAAGGACACTTTTTTGCATTTATCTTCAGATAGGGAGGAAGGGAGAGAAACATCATGCGTGAGAGACTCATTGACTGGTTGCCACCTACACAACCCCAACAGGGGCTTGGGAGGAACTGCAACCCATGTGGGTGCCCTTAGTGGAAACCGAACCCAGGACTCTCTGGTCCGCAGGCGATACTCTAACCACTGAGCAAAACCGGCCAGGGCACTACCATGATTCTTTACATCAAGGAAGAGGTGTACTCATTTCCACATTAAAGTAATACTGGTGAGAAACATTTTCTGAATTGGCCAAGCAAGTGGTAGAATCATGTCTCCCTCTAACCAGAGAAACTAGGGTAAATCTGTAAAGGAGAGGGCTAGTTGACAAGGTCTTTCTGAGCATTTGCAAATCGATTTTATACCACATCCCGAGTCCTTAGGTTATATGCATCGGTCCCTGTTTGTAGATGGACACAAGGTATTCCTTGTGAGAGGGCTTTAGCTGTTTGTGGCTAAAACTTTACCAAACTTGATACTTCTAACATAGGAATTCCTGCCTTCGTGTTAAAGGTCAAAGGAACTCATTTCACTGGGACAGTTATAGACAGTAACCTCATTGCCTGTATTAACCCCCAAACATTGTGAAAAGTTGAAAGAGTAAGTGATACTCTGAAGCTGAAACTGTCCATTCGAACTATCAGGAAATCTTAATCTGTTTATAACGTGGCCTATGTTCTTGCACTGGGATTGGTGGGCAAAGTTATTTTAAAAGACTGTACTAGCAAATGGTTGAGTAATAAAGAAAAAATATGCTGATACTGATATCCATATAACAATAGCAGTAAAAACATCACATAAAAGCATCCCTATTTATTTATTTATTTATTTATTTTATTGTTAATCCTCACCTGAGGATATTTTTCCATTGATATTTAGATAGAATGGAAGGGAGGAAGGGAGAGAGAAACATCAATGTGAGAGGGTCACTTTGGTTGCCTCCTGCCTGGGGCTGAGGCTCGAACCCAGGGCCCTTCCATCTGCAGGCCAATGCTCTAACTGCTGAGCCAAATCAGCCAGAGTGAAAAAGCAGCCCCATTTATTTATTTATTTATTATTATTATTATTATTATTATTTTTTATCCTCACCCGAGGATATTTTTCCATTTTTTGTACAGATAGAGTGGGAGGGAGAGAGAGGAAGAGAGAGAGAGTGAGAGAAACATCGACGTGAAGGGACACATCGAGTGACTGCCACCCGCACGACCAACCAGGGCCGGGGACAAACTGCAACCGAAGTACGTGCCCTTAGCAGGAACCGAACCCGGGTCTCTCAGGACCGCAGGCCAACGCTCTAACCGCTGAGCCAAACTGGCCAGGGCTTATTTATTATTATTTTTTTAATCCTCATCCGAGGACACTTTTCTCTTTATCTTCAGATAGAGTGATAGAGTGGGAGGGGGAGAGAGGGAGAAAAAGGGAGAGAGAGAAACATCGATGTGAGAGGGACACATCGACTAGTTACCTCCCACACTACCTCGACCAGGGCTGGGAACAAGCCTCAACCGAGGTACATGCCCTTGGCCAGAATCAAACCCGCGACTCACTCGTTCACAGGCCGATGCTCTACCACTGAGCCAAACCAGTCAGGCAAGCAGCCCCATTTAAACGGCCTCTAACTACCCCCAAAACCAAGCCTCATTTGGAGTAAAAATTAGTGTTCTTACAAAACTGTGATACATAAAGTGTATGGGTATGTATTTGTGCATGTGTGTGTATATACCCTATATGTGAAATATGTCTCATCTATCGATCTGATGGATATGACAAAGAGAATTTAATGATGACCTAGTATCTTGCACTTGACCTCACCTTGTATTTGAAAAACTTGGTCCCAGTTGATAACATCATGTTCCTCCAGCAGCCGCTGGTAAGCTCTGACATCCTTGTAGAACACAGCATAGGCATTGGTATAATGATCCAGGTCATCTGTCTCAGCCTGGGTCAGAAGACACAATCATGAAAACAAATCCTGGAGGTAACTGAAATCATGCATAGAGTAGATACCGTTAACTGTGCATGTCTAGATAATCTCCATTAGCAAAATTAGCCACCTGTAAACAATGGCTAAGTGAGAGGAAGGGAAAGCGCAGACATCTGGAGCCTTTGCTTGATTGTTTTTCCTAGTATTATGGAGGTTTTATGACATTCATTTTACATATTTCCAGGATTTTTAATTTATTTGTAAACATATAAATGATATAACTCAAGCGACCCCCTGATAAGAATAAATCAGACTCTCAGAACTTTCCTAATGTGGTCAGGGCAGCACATCTTTGATTCCTTGGGCCTCTCTTTGGTCTCAGAGGCAGAATGGGACAGATGCTGTCTTTTTCATGTTCTTCCATATTCACACTCATGAGCAAGGTCTAAGGAATCATCAACCCATTAGAAAAACTAGTATATACAAGTATGTATGCTTTATGCTTCTAGAGATTACAACACACTAAAGATACAGTTTATTGAATGCATTTAGACTAAAGGTTTTTCATATGTCTGATATTCTAAAGACAGTCAAATCAGAAGCTAATGATAAAATATTACTTTGTAAGCTAACATATATGGCTATGATGGCTTATGATATCCCCTTTACCTAGTCTTTTCTTTCTAGTTGATGCCAACTCTTACTTTTTTTTTTTTTTGCCTTTCAAAACTGTACCTCTTTCTGCCGCCGAGTGATAACAGCTTTGAAGTCTGGCCATGAATCCAATACCACTTCCTTTTGAAAGGGATTCCCACGATTGATGTTCATCACTGCTCCATACACCTGAGCCAGAGAACCCAGAGAGACAAGCCAGTGTCATCCCTAGCTGTTCGGTTGCGTAGTACCCTCTTTGACTCTTGTTCCATCGTAGAATGATGGCAGCCAGAGGGGAAATTATAAATATTCACACAACATGCACACATACAAACTCCCCCCTTGCTGTTTCATCAGGGCACATGAAAACAAAGTCTATGAAAGCCTAAGAAAACTCGCCTGACACTTAGCATTTTACAGTATAGCCATGAGAGGTACTAAATCAGGAGGCTTACTGGATGCATGCTAGGTACATTGGTCAGCAATAAATATTGAATGAATCAGAATCTCTTGTATGGATTAGGGCTCTTACATCTTTTAGACGTTCCACTGATACTGTTGATGCTCAGCTGCTTTTAAAGTCTATTATACTATCCAAAAATAACCTGTGAAATGCAACTATTCCTTGGACTCTGAACTACAATTAAACATCACTTGATGGTGACCCCCCCCCAATAAGCCAAAAACAACCCCCTGCATATCAGATTGGTGGGGCCAAGCTCTGTACGTATTCCTTGAGAGCTGTACCTATGTTCATTCATTGTTACATCCATGGAACCTGACAACCGATCAAAGCCTTTTTGACTAGACAATACTGAGTAGTAATTTTAAAGTTCTCTGTGACTTTTCACATTTTCTTCTCTACTAAGAATCAAAGATGTCTGTCCTACAAAACAACTTTCATATTTTATCTGTGTGCTTCTAGAGAGTGGTGGTGATGAGGAGGGCTGAGCTCTAGGTCAATGTACATAGCTGTATTTTTGTAAACAGATAAAAAGTGGAAACAATCTAAATGTCCACCAGAAGTGGAAAAAATAAGTCAGTTATGGCATATTCATACTCTGGACTACAAACAGCAACACAATGTTGAGCAGAAGAAGCTACATACAAAAAGATACTTCTGTGATCCAATGCAGGTTATATTAAAAAACACGCAAAACTAAATTATGGCTTTAGAAGTCAGGATCGTTGTTACTTTTGGGGAGCAGGGAAAGGTAGTGATTGGAAAGGAGTTTTGTGGGGGGCGGGGAGCAGCCTCTGTAGTAATGTGCTTTCTTGGAGTGGAGGTTATACAGGTAATCACTTTGTGAAAATTCTGAGCTGTATAAGCATGTTATGTGCACTTTCTAGTATATGCTTTATTTCAGTGAAAAAATTTAAATTATAAGGGCATTAGTACCTACACTTTACTTCTTTTATCACTTAGTTCGAATCACTCACCTCAATGCCTAGACCATTTTCCAGCTCTCTTTTGTTTTACCCAATCTGGGATCTCACTCAATTCTTCTCATAGAAGGTATTTTTCCCAATGAAGTCTGGTTGAGACTAATGTGTAACATGGATCACACTTAGTGAAAATCGAAGAGCTAAAGTAAACTGGAAGGGTAATGGCTTGTTCTGCTAATCGTAGTTCAACCTGACTTGTTCTGTTAACCATTAAATGCTGGGCTGCTGATCTCACATATACTACAGAGTAGTCAGTTTCTCAAAATGGAGCTTAAATATAATTGGAAAGTTTAGAAGGGTAAAAGGGAAAACTCTTTCCCATATTCAGATTCTGAAAGAAAAAACAACTTGTTTGCCAAAGATTCGGAACCAACCGCGAGATTTTGCATCGATGGAAAACAAACCAACCCTTCCAATAGTGTTGAGAGGAGAGGGGAAGTGGCCGGGGACAGTAATGATGCTGGAGAAATGAGCAGTTAGAGTTTGTGCAGGAAATTTGGAGAGATATTTAATTACTTTAACACTAAGGTGAGATGATAAAATGCACAGCCATAAACTCCAAATAATGGAAGAAGGGTGAACAACAAAACTACCTTTTCTTTCTTTCTTTTTCCCTAAAGGACATAGGGTAACTGAAGGGGTATTTTGAAAGTATTGTTAAAAAACCAAAGCCACGCCCGACCAGTGTGGCTCACTGGTGGAGCGTTGACCCATGCACCAGGAGGTCACTGGTTCGATTCCCGGTCAGGGCACATGCCCAGGTTGTGGGCCCAATCCCCAGTGGGGGGCATGCAGGAGGCGGCCAATTGATGTTCTCACTATTCAATGTTTCTATCTATCTCTCCCTTCCTCCCTCTCTAAAATCGATAAAGAAAAAATATTAAACAAATAAACAAACAAACAAAAAACCAAAGCCAGGCATTATACAGCAATTACTGAAGAAGGATAAGGAGATCCAGGCATAAAGAGACTCAGTGTATGGACAATGAGAAATTGGGAGTACCACGCTAAGCAGCTATTAAAGAGAAGATCATACAAAGAAGGCATTGATTTTTGCCTACAGGTTTCATTAATTTAATTTATTACTTCAAATGGGGTTATGAGAGGCAAACACTTCAAAGAGCACTCAATTTGGAACCCAAAAACCTGGATTTAAATCTGAACTCTAGCACTTAAAGATGGGATAGTGACTTAGTAACATCACCTGTAGAATTATAAATATCTGCCTATTCAGAGATATTACTATTGCAGAGGTAGTAATTAGTTTTTATGAAGTTCAAATGAGATCATATGAAAGATTTTAAAAAAATTATACATGCTATTCAGGTCAAGTCAACTAATCTGAATTCAGAAGTCTTTAAAAATAAGAGTTGAGCCATGGCCAGTTTGGCTCAGTGGTTGGAGTGTTGGCCCATAGACCAAAGAGTCACGGGTTCAATTCCGGTCAAGGGCATGTATCTTGGTTGCGGTTTGGTCCCTGGCCCTGGTCGGCGTAGTGCAGGAGGTAACCAATTGATGTGTCTCTCTCACATCAATGTTTCTCTTTCTCTCTCTCCCTCCCATTCAATCTGAAGATAAATGAAAAAATATCCTCGGGTGAGGATTAAAAATAATAATAATAAGATTTGAACAGACAAGGAATTAATAAATAATTATTGTACAAAGTTTTCAGTGACCAATCAACAACAGTTAATTGAGTAATTATTATGGGCAAAGCCCTTACCAAGCACAGTAGGAGGAATTAAAAAATAGGGGAAAAAATTGAACATCTTCGCCTAGGCATCTGGTAGCTATGTTGCTGTGGGAAAAGCAGTAGATAAGAAATCAGAGGAACTAAGGTTTGACTACTTGCTGTATTACCTTCTTTGAGCTTCAGTTTATTCATTTATAAAACGGGTTAATAAATCTTACAAAGTTGTCAGAAGGATAAAAAAATTGAAACTCTCTATATGCAAACATAATAATAATAATAATTATTATTATTAATTTTTTATCCTCACCCGAGGACATTTTTCCATTTTTTGTACAGATAGAGTGGGAGGGAGAGAGAGGAAGAGATAGAGAGAGAGAAACATCGATGTGAAAGGGACACATCGAGTGGCTGCCACCGCACGACCAACCAGGGCCGGGGACAAACTGCAACCGAAGTACATGCCCTTAGCGGGAACCGAACCCGGGTCTCTCCGGACCTCAGGCCGACGCTCTAACCGCTGAGCCAAACCGGCCAGGGCCAAACATAATAATTATTATACAGCCCTGGCCGGTTAGAGCATCAGCCCGTGGACCAATGAGTCTAGGGTTCGATTCCGGTCAAAGGCACGTACCTCAGTTGTGGTTCGTCCCCAGCTCTGGTCTGGTCATGCAGGAGGCAACCAGTTGATGTGGCTCTATCACGTTGATGTTTCTTTCTGTCTCTCCCTTCATCCGTCCCTCCCTCTCTCTTTATCTGATGATAAATAGAAAAGTATCTGCAGGTGAGGAATTAAAAACAAATTAATAATTATAATCCAAGAGCCCATCATTTGTCTTGATGATTATAGGATCTTTCAAGACGCTGTGAAGGTCACCAAAAACTTTTTAGGTCTCTCTGGTAAAAGCGTTAGTCAAATTCGTTGTCAAAGAAATGTAGCCAGTCACCTCAGCCCATTTATTTACCTCAATGACAGCATTCAAAACGGGAAAATTTAGTTTAGATCGTCCATTTGGTACTTTTTAGTTACATGGTCCCAAATTACCACTCTGATCTTCCCTCCCACATACAGTGTAAGCACAATCAATAAGGCAAGATGACTAGATTTAATCAACCTAGTAGAGAGCACTAGGATTTTCTTTGGATGGTTTTTGTTCAAAATTCAGTGTCAGTAAGGATTATCCAAGGTGTTTGTTAAACATACAGGTCCCTGGTCTCTCTCTTCAGAAACTCTGATTCTTGATGTCTGTTCTAGGTTAGCAGCAGCTGACACTGGAGAACCGCTGTTGTCGGGCTCTGCTCGAGAAACAGCCCTCAAAGACGATTTTAGTGCACTCTGCGTTTTTTCTCCAAGTGCTTAAATATTTCTAATCTTACATTTAGTTTTAATCTTTGATTAATGTCATCCACAGGAGTTATCAGCAAGTCCTCATGCACTTTGAGAAGACTTCAATAGGTGAAGTCTTGATGACTAACAAAGCCACTGAAACAACTTCAAAAATAAACAGAAAAAAATTTTTAAAACAAACAGAAAAAAAAAACCATGTATAACTAACCCCAAACTTCAGTTCCATTGTGTACCCAGGTCATGTTCTTACTGGCATTGCCACCTAGTCCATACCTTCTGCCATGTAAAAATATTTAGAACTTGAATTTACCTTAAAAACAATCTAGTCCAGCCTTGGCCGGTTTGGCTCAGCGGTTAGAGCGTTGGCCCACGGACCGGAGAATCCTGGGTTCGGTTCCCACTAAGGGCATGTACCTTGGTTGCAGTTCATCCCTGGCCCCTATTGGTCGTGTGGGTGGGGACCACTCGATGTGTCTCTCTCACATCGATGTTTCTCTCTCTCTCTCTTCTTCCCTATCTCCCTCCTGCTCTATCTGAGGATAAATGCAAAAATGTCCTCAGGTGAGGATAAAAAAAAGATAATAATCTAGTCCATCATCACCTAAATTTTCCTAGGAGTCATCTAGAGTGACTGTCAAGAATATAATTACCTGGGCCACATCCACAGTCCCCCAAGTCAGCCTCCAGCAGGTGGGGACTGGGAAGTTGTGTGTTTAACAAGTGGCCCCAGAGTCTTATCACCTAAAACTCTGGGAAACAGCCACCAGTCTGACATTATTTTCACAGATTAATACAATAAAGAAAGAAAAGAAAACTCCAATTTGTTGTACCTTGAGTGATTCAGGAAAGTGAGTCTTCAGCACTTTTTCTAGTATCAGTAACTTCGTAGAGCAGTTCAGCACCAACATCTCCTCCAAAGCTCGAGCAACTCCGCACCTAAGGAGAAACTTGAAGGCATACATTTAACTTTTGTCTGTTCACATTTGAACCCACCTGGTGATATCCTTGAGGTCCTGCTTTCCCCGCCTATCATTCTGCACGCCACGCTCCCTCTGCAGTGGGGAGAAGGAAGGCGGGAGGCACTGCGTGGGTTAGTCAGAGAGCACTGACCAATGGAAAGTGTTAATGACCTGTTCCTGGAAAGATGTATCTACACCGGGTTAAGTCTCCCTCGTTTGCACACTCATTGCGCTCTGAACTCCTCCTTCAGGAGACAACAGCAGTTGTAAATTTACACTTACCAGTGTTTTCTTTGATTGAAGTCTTTCTCAAGTAGACTGTGAGATGCACAAAGGAAGGGCCATGTCTGTTTTGTGCTCCACTGTCTCCCCAGCACCCAGCACAAGGCTGGGCACATAGCAACGGACATTCTAAATAGTTGTTGAATGGCTGGCATGAAGCTCAGGGTAAGAATCTTCACAAGGTGGGACAAAGGCTTGAGTGGCTCAGGTATCGGGTCATGAAGAACAATTTGGAGAGAAGCAGCTCGATTGCAGATGAAGGATCACGTGTGAGCAAAGGCTGAGGCTCATTTGAGTCACATAAGATTAAAAAGCAACAACAAAAGCCTACGTATAATATATGCAACTTCATTCATCATGGTGCAATTGTGTTTTCTAGATTTAAGGGCTCCACTCCTCTGCTCTTTTTTCCCCAAGAAAACCTTTCCCCCAACATTCCATTGGGTCTTGACTACCTGAAAGAAAATGCATATTTTTTCTATATTCAATGCGGCAGAACTTTTCCACCTCATCCTCGCAGCCAGGCGCTAGGATGACGAAGATAACTCCACCCGACGTGGGAACCTGGTGCCTCTGGGACCGTGGTGGGTGACGCCTTCACAACACATTTCCCTCGGTGGCATCTCTGTGTGGCCATAAGATACGCAGCGTGTCTGAGTGTGATTTACTTACAATCTGCAGTAAAACTCTATCACGTAGTTGAGGGGAGTCTGAACTTTTAAGAGGCATGTTTCTGATGACCGAGCCGTAGGGGCTCCCGTCCAGTGAGTGGGGCACCTGAGGTGTTTGGATCCTCTACAGGAGTCAGAAGAGAGCTAAGGGTCAAGGCAGCATCGGAAAACAGTCTGGGCCATGTTAGAAACTTGGAGAAGATCAAATTTCCAGAGTTCAGGTTGAGCAAAGCAAGGAGAAGCGTAGCCATTATCCCTTCACCCTCACATCTGCTTAAATTTTCACTCACTTACACCATCTCTAAGTCAAACTTCAGCTTCTTGTTGGAGCCTCATGTTAAACACATTAATTTATTCTAATTCGGTATCTTTTGGGATAAAATAAATAAAACTATTTCAAAGGAAAGTTCATCATGACTCTCTTATTAGGTTTGATGTCTAGAAATCTTTCTATATCCTAATACAAAGCATAGTGGCTACTGCAGAGAGGAGGAATTCTAAGTACTGGTTGATGATTTGCTTATTTTTTGCCTGGTTTGTTCCCGAAAGGATCTAAAACCACTTATAAACTTAAGTAAAATATATCAAGAAAAATTAAGTTTACCTTAAAGTTCAGGGAAGGGGGAAAACAGAGGTATCAGAGTAACACGGAGCCCAGAGTGAGGTCAGCAGGCAAAGGGCAGAGAGAACAGCCCTACACGGAGAACTGACCCTCTTTATATGTGGATTCCGTGTCTGTAAATTGCCTGATTGCTAATGCATTTGTATCCCCCGCAATCAATACTGACAGGGCTTTTGCCGTCATTTGTGGACATGTGCAGAGCTGTGAAAATTTTCAGTCTCCCAATAACCCGCTTTTCAGCTAAAGATGAAGAAGGTGACTTTTTGTTCCAGCTCTTAAACTGTGAAGAAGTCCTTTAACTAGTCCTTAACTTTGCCCCGCTGGTGTGGCTCAGTGGCTGAGTATCGACCAATGTACCAAGAAGTCGCCGGTTTGATTCCCGGTCAGGACACATGCCCAGGTTGTGGGTCTTGACCCACTGTGGGGGCATGCAGGAGGTGGCCAGTCGACGTTCTCTCTCTCTCTCCCTTCCTCTCTCGGTAAAAAATAAATAAATAAATAAAGAAAAAAAATTAAATAGTCCTTAACTTCTATTTAGTGCCAAGGTTTTTTTTTTTTTTTGCTCTTTGTTGGTGATTTCACTATTTAAAATGGCCCCCAAGCTTAGTGCTTAAGTATTGATTAGTGTTCCTAAGAGCAAAAAGGCTATCGTGTGTCTTATGGAGAAAATACATGCATTAGATAATCTTCCTTCAGGCATGAGTTATAATGCTCCTGACTCTACGTTCAATGACAATAAGTCAACAACATATATTAAATCATGTGTCTTTAAACAGCCATCTCATAAAGCAGGGTTGTGTGTTTATCTGCTAATGGAAATATTGGGACCAGAGCTTTGCGGGAACCTAACCCTGCCTATACTTTCCCTAGGAGCAATGGTTCAACATTCACTAAGACAGCGTTGTTCCCTGTGACTTCATTGAACACAGGACCGTAAACAATGAAAATCAACTACTTGCAGGAGTTGAAAGCCCTTTTCTACTCTGAGCTTTCTAGCAGCTAACAAAGAGAAATAAACACGATTCGTTACATGATTATTTCCCATAGCATTACCCTTACGGTCTTTACCACAGCACTTGCCTGCCTTTTCCCTTGTACCTCTCTAAAGGAAGCCCAGTTCTCTAGCTTCTGAATATTCAAAACCCTCCTTGAGCTGGCTTTCATATACCTTTCTAGACTAAGCAGCTCACAAATTTCAAATCACAAATGACTCAGGGTGACAAATATTGATGACATTAATATCAGGGACATTTCTCCTAGGGGCTCACACAGAGAAGATACTACAATTAATAACAACACTGGAGACTGTCTTTTCAGTAAACAGGTATAAATTGTATAAATTGTTTTTATTAAATGAAAAGATAATATTTTTAAAAACACAGATTCAATGAAATGGTTCTTACGGATTTTTTATTTATTTAAGAGAGAGAGAGAGGAAGGGAGAGGGAGAGAGAGAAACATCAATCAGTTGCCTCCAGTACACACCCTGACCAGGGATCGAACCCAGAACCTGAGTATGTGCCCTGACTGGAATAGAACCAGTGACCTTTTGGTGCATGGGACAACGCTCAACCAGCTGAGCCACACCAGTCAGGGATGAAAAGATAATTTTTAAAGGCCACAAACAGATTATAGAAATTCTGTATGGAAAATATTTTTTACACATTATTGAATTATATTAGAAAATCGTAATGATAACTATTAACTCTAAAGGCTACAAGAGGAGACTATCTTATCCTCACCACTCAATTATAAATTCCCTATAATTAATATGTGTTCTCGACTTGGAAGGTACATGTTGTCAATCCTTGAGCCAAACTCTTATCACCAGACTAACTGAAGTCTTCGTGAAGGAAAATCATCATGCCTATATAACTTTTAGAAACTGCGGTTTCTATGGGGCAGTGTTCATCAGCACACAGCAAACACCTAAAATATTTTATTAATATTAAACAGACAATGAAAGCATGCTACTCTCTTGGGAGACTTTTAATTCTTACCAATAAATAAAACAGAAGGTCTCTGTTTATGGTGTAATATACCATTTGCAATACAATGGTGGACGTTTGTTAATGAGGAAAGAAGTTTCTTTTTAAAGCACTGAAATCCAGTACTATTAATTATTTTTTCAGATGATAGGTTTCCTGCCTGGAAAGATTCTTGTCTTATATTTGTTTCTCTAGTTGTGCCCATATCACAATGCAAAATCTTTTATATTTTGTAATGCTTATTTTCCCCATACCAAAATTTAAGAGTAAAAGAAACAAACAAAAATCATCTTTTCCTCTGAATCTAATTAAATTTATTCTTCCTATACAATGTTGAATTTCATCTCTCCTCTTTCTATTCCCCCACCTTTGCTCATGCATTATAACCAATGATTTGAAATTTGTTATTTTAATGAATAAATGCTTACCAGCTGTTGGGGGTTTAGCCTGAAACTGAGTTCTTTCACTGTGTATCAGTGCAGTGGCTCTTTCTCCCCGAATGATGAGTTTATTCCTCAAGACTTCCTTAATTAGTCCTTGGTGGAAAGAGGAGGGAGAGAAAATAAATGTCCACACCTGCAGAAAGGGAGGAGTTTCTGATGTCAGGTGACATTTATCACGAATACAGCACGAGTATTTCCACTCCACCTCTTCCTTTCTATCGTATTTAGTCGTACAGTGTAAAAGCCGATGAACACTAATCTTGATTTAGAGATGAACATTTTCTAGTCACAAAACCTATCTATCCACCAGGCTCTGGTATTCTTTTAGAAGAAAAGTCACTCAGAGTTTACACACTTCCCTCAAACGGCTGCAATTTCAGACACCATATAATCATGTACACGGGAATCTCAGCACGACATAATACCCGAGTTTTGAGTAATAAACAGTACCCATGTCTCAAAGGCATATGGAGACTGAATGGGGTCACATGGGAGGATCCTGTTTACCACTGTGTGTCTCATAAACTCAGGTTCAAATGAAGGGGTAGTTCAGGGCATTCTTTACTTGAAGATGCTGGTTTTAAGTAATACAGTGGGTAATTGGTAGTTGAAAGTGACTGGAAAAATTGTGTTAGATGACAATTCCTGCACACCAAAATGAGAGTGTTTTTGATCCTGGTATATTGGTAACTTTTCTTTTCTTTTTTGAAGATGTTACTGAGGGTGACATATACCTATGCATGTCCCTAAGGATCCTATATAAATGTAGTCTTTTCCAAATATTGTTTGAGAAAAATTGATTTAAAAGTGAGCAAAGCTGTTATTTCTAGAACAGAATCTGTTTTAGATATAAAGTACAATACCAGAACAACCTTAAAGTTAGGGGTCAAGTTATTTATGGGCTCAGAGAGGCATATAAATGTCTTCCCAGATTTAGCTACAT